TACAACTTTCCTCTAATTCTTAAATACTTCCTTCCCTCCCACTATCATGATCCCAATTCTACTTTACAAATCTGGCTAGATCAGAGGATGTACATTGGTACAGATAGGAACTAGAAACACAGGGAATACAGGACAGATGATCCCTTCAGGACCAGTGGTGAGAGTGGCGATACCGGGAGGGTGGAGGGAGAGTAGGGTAGAAAGGGGGAACCGATTACAAGGATCTACATATAACCTCCTCCCTGGGGTGCTTGACTCAATGAATATAGGTATGGATTGTGATAAGAGTTGTACAAGCCCCCAATAAAATGATTAAAAAAAAAAAAGAACAGATATGTATTGTCTTACACTTCTAGAGGCTGGAAGTTTGGATGAAGGTGCTAGTAGGGACCATATTTTATCTGAAAGGTCTACAGAGAATTCTCTTTCTCTCTCTCTCACTCTCCCTATCTCCTAGCTTCTGACAATCTTTGGCATTCCTGGGCTGGTAGATGCATCGTTCACTCCCATGTCTATCTCCATCTTCATTTGGTATCTTACCTTTGTGTCTGTTTTTCTTTGTGCCTCTTCTTCTCTCTCTCTCTTTTAAAAAAATCATTTTATCAGGGGCTCGTACAATTCTAATCAAAATCCATCCATCCATCCATTGTGTCAAGTACATTTTTACATTTGTTGCCATCATTATTTTCAAAACATTTGCTTTCTACTTGAGCCCTTGGTATCAGCTTCTCTCCACCCCCCCTTCCCCACCCTTCTTCCCTCATGAACCCTTGATAATTTATCAATTATTATTATTTTTTCATGTCTTACACTGTCCAATGTCTCCCTTAACCCACTTTCCTGTTGCCCATCCCCCTGGGAGGTGTTTATATGTAGATCATTGTGATTGATACCCCTTTTCTCCCACCACCTTCCCCTTCCCCTCCTGGTATGGCTACTCTCAATATTGGTCCTGAGGAGTTTATCTGTCCTGGATTCCTTGTGTTTCCAGCTTTTATCTATACCCATGTACATGCTCTGGTCTAGCCAGATTTGTAAGGTAGAATTGGGGTCATGACTGTGGGGGGAAGAAGCATTAAAGAATTAAAGGAAAGTTGTATGTTTCATCGATGCTATACTGCACCCTGACTGGCTCGTCTCCTCCCTGTGACCCTTCCATAAGGGGATGTCCAGTTGCCTAAAGATTGGCTTTGGGTCTCTACTCTGCACTCCCCCTCATTCACAATAATATGATGTTTTTGTTCTGGGTCTTTGATGTCTGATGCCTAATCCTATCAACACTTCATGATCACAGAGGCTGGTGTGCTTCTTCCAGGTGGGCTTTGTTGCTTCTCAGCTAGATGCCACTTATTTATATTCAAGCCTTTAAGACCCCAGATGCTATATCTTTTGATAGCCATGCACCATCAGCTTTCTTCACCACATTTGCTTATACACCCATTTTGTCTTTACCAATCGTGTCGGAAAGGTGAGCATCACAGAATGCCGGATTATTAGAACAGAGTCTTCTTGTGTTGAGGGAATACTTGAGTAGAGACCCAGTGTCCATTTGCTACCTTAATAGTATACCTATAAATATATGTACATAGATCTATTTCCCCATCATCATATATAAATGTATTTATAAATGTACATACCTGTATTTAGACTTCTATAAATGCCCTTTGCCTCCTAGCTCTTTCCTCTATTTCCTTTTGCTTTCCGCTTGTCCCACTATCATGTTCAGCCTTCATTTGAGTTTTAGTAATTCCTCTCGGTTACATTGCGCTTGACCAAGTCTTTTTTTTATGCCAACACCAGTTGATTTGGATTAGGACCTACCCTACTTCAGTCTGACGTCATGTTCACTAGTAACCTTCAAAGTAACACCTTCAACGACCGTGTTACATTCCCAGAGACAGAGGGTTAGGACTTCAAAGGTCTCTGAGTGGGGTAACAAATCAATTCATTACAAAAACCAAACTAAACCCATTGCTGTGTAGCCAATTCTAGTTCATGGTGACTCTGGGTGTTAAAAGAGAAGAATTGCCCCATAGGTGTTTCTTGGGGATAAGATTTATGGAAGCAGAGGGTCATAAGCAGTGCCGCTGAGTGGATCCAAACTGCCTCCCTTTTGCTTAGTCATCAAACACAAACTCTTTATGCCGCTCAAGGACATTATTGCACCCACGTTGCACCCATGTTGTTGTGGTGACGTGCCCTCCAGTCGGTTCCAACTCATAGCGACCCTACATGCAGCAGAACTAAACACTGCCCGGTCCTGGGCCATCCTCAGACTTGTTCTATGTTTGAGCAGCCACTGTGTCCATCCAAATTGTCAAAGGTCTTCCTATGTTTTACTGCTCCTCTGCTTTACCAAGCAAGATGACCTTCTCCAGGGATTGATCTTTCCTGCACATGTACAAAACTCAATCCAAAAAAGCAGTTAATGATCACCTGTAAATAAGTTTGAACACCCTCTGAAACCAGTCCTATACAGGGATGCAATAGGTCCCATATCCAGACTGGTGGCACAAATCAGTGCTGCTGGCCTGAGTCTGGGTCTGCTCTTCCTGCTGGGAACATCCCTGAAGCTGCTTTACAATATTTGAGCACCTGAATTGGTGCCTGGTTTTCCATGAGCCCCTCTTGATATTCTCTGGTCAATCCCCAAATTCTTTCTGAACTGGGGCTTTGTTCCCCTTTAAGTCTTGCCTCTGCATGGTGGGTCCCTGTTATCAATTGAATTATGTTCCCCCCAAACATGTGATAAATCCTAGCCTGTGATTATAATGCATTTGGGACTGTATTGTGTTTGTGATATTAATTAGACAAGATTAGTACAGGATTTATCTTGAGTCAACCTCTTTTGAACTATAAAAGAGATTACTAACGAGGCAAGACAAAGATGGAGGAGAAAAGATCGCAACCCACATGAAGATATTCCAGAAGTCAAAGCTAGGAGAGAAAAGGACATTTCTCCAGAGGTGACAGAAAGAGAAAACCTTTCCATCGAACTAGCTTTCTGAACCGCTGCTCTCCTAGACTGGGAGAAAAAAGGTCTGTTTTCTACAGGCACCGACTTGTGGTATTTCTACTGTAGCGACATTTGAAAACTAAGACAGAATTTAAGCATCAAGAAACAACTGCTTTGTGGAATGATTTTGGAATTAGGTAATTGCTGGAGAATGGAAGGGTTTTAAGACAATAGTCAAAACTCGGATTGCCTTGAAGGGACTGTTGGTAGAATTAAGAAAGTCAAAGGCCATTCTGGTGAGGACACAAAAGAAGTGAAGAGAGCAATAGAGAGTCTCTAATAGGGAATTTGTACGGCACGAGTATCAGAATGTTGCTAGAAACGTGAACTTGCAGAGTGCTTCCGTTTTGACTTTTAAAGAAAATGCTGAACATGTGATTGCACAATAGAGGAAAGAGGGCGATTTTTGTGCAATGGCAAGAAACTTGTCATAAAATGCCCAAATGTTGTGGAAAGGTAGAACTTGTAAGTGATGAATTTGAACATCTTAAAGGTTTCATATGATTTCTCCTTGCTACTTGTATTAGCTTGGGTTCTCTAGAGAAACAAAACCAGCGAAGCTTATAGATGTACACATAGAGAGAGTTTTATATCAAGGAAATGACCCGCACTGTGGTGGAGGTGGGCCAGGCCCAGGTCCATAGCTCAGATGTTAGGATGGAGGTTTCTCCTGACTCATTTAGCTACAGAGGCTGATGAACCCAAGGCTTCTGGCTGCAGACACAAATGAATCTAAGGTTGCTAGATATGATGTCAGATGTCTGATGACTCCCAGAAATAGCAGGCAATTCAACAGACCTCTGACTCAAGTCCTAATAGCTGGACATCAGATGATTATAAGATGATCCAGACCTAGTAAAAAGCAAACAAGCCTTTCCAGAACATCGGCATCTATTGGAACCACTGAAGAGATTTCTTTTTAATTGATTGGCTACTCATAGCAGGTCTCAATATAAAGATTACATAATACCAGATGTCCTCACGGGGGATTACTATGTCTTAACTACCAAGCCACTGAGACTCTTAGTCCACCCAGGTTGACCTAAAACCTTAACTATCAAACTACTTACATTAACATGTGAAAACAAAGAAATGGGCTTAAAAATGAACGGTGGAAAATGAAAATAAAGCTTAAATATTTGGAAAATTCTGTTGTACAAGTTAAGAATTATGTTCTACAATTTTCACTAAGGCTATAGCTACATAATCTTTTGTTAAAGAGACTGAGGATATAACTGATGAATCTAACCAATGGCCACAGCAGAAAACCTATTCACCTAGATTGACAAGGACAGAGAGAGAACTCTTGTCTGCCTCTTGGGAGTCTACAGGCAGGCAGGATATAGAGCAAAGGTACCACGTCTGCTGTCCTCCAAGAACAGAAAAGGACCATTCCTGAAGCAGCCTGAAGATCAGCAGACCCAGTGAAAACGAGGCAAACAGAGATGCCCAGGTCTCAAGGGTAGGGCCATAGCCTTTGGACTTTCAAAGGGTAGAGCCATGGCTTCCTGGGTTTCAAAGAGTCAGATCTTTTTGATCTTTCCCAACTTGGTTTCCAAGTATGTGTTTTCATTTAGTTTGGCCAGGAGGATGGAGATATCGCCCAAAGCTGTGGTGTTAAGGATGTGATGGGCAGAAAAAATGGTAGTTGCCTGGGCTGACTGGGTAAAGAGTTTCCATTCATATGCATTCAGAGTGGCTTCCACCCAAATGGAAGGAGCAGAGGTGCTGTTCGACTGAGTCTGGGTGGCAGAGTTGAAGCTCAGGGCTAAGCGTCTTTTATCCAGAATCCAGAGAGAGTGACCAACACTCAGAGTCTGGAGGGCGAGCTAATGGAAATGGTTCTGCTGGTGCTTGGACCTGCTGCATGCCAGTTATCCCTTCCTTCCCTCCAGTTTCTCCCGTTTGTAATGAAAATGCCTGCCTTGTGCCTGTTGTGTCATTGTACTTTAGAAACAGATAACCTGTGTTCTCGATTTCACAGGTTCAGAGATAAAGAGGAATTTTGCCCCAGGATGGAATAAAGCCTCACCCATATTTGATGTAGATGATTCAGAAGAGGAGATTTTGGACTTGGAGTCGATTTAAGACTTTTTGGATACTGTAATGGGTGCATGTATTTTGCGTGTGCCAAAGACATGAATTTTGTGGGGCAAGTGATGCAATGTTATGGATTGAATTATGTGCCACCAAATATGTGGTAAAACCTAACCTCTATGCAGGTACTTTTAATGCCACTTAGGACTGGGCCGGATAAATATAGTGTTCATTTTGAGTTGTTCTCTTTTGAGATATAAGTGAGATTAAACAATAAAGTCAATTTTAACTCATAACTACTCTAAACATGTCAGAATAGAACTGTGCTTAGTAGGGTTTTCAATAGCTGTGACTTTTTGAAAATATATCTTTCTTTCCTTCCTTCCTTCCTTCCTTCCTTCCTTCCTTCCTTCTTTCCTTCCCCTGAGGTGTTTGAGTGAAATTCAACCCTAATCTTTTGGTTAGCAACTGAGTACTTAACAAAACTACTTGTACAACCAAGGACTCTGATTTCTACTGGGAAGGGTAGCTTTTCTGAAAGTGGGGTTCTGAGAGCAGCAGCCAGAAATTTATATCACAGCTCAGAGAAGAGTAGTCCATGTGGCTTGGCTTTCTCAAGGAAGATCCGAAGCCCATTCCAATGGGTGGCATGTGACTTTGAGTGCCTAGACACCAGCTGGCAGTGAAGGGGAGGTGGTTAGTGAAAGGCCACTTAGTGATCATTTATCATGTGCAAGGCTTGTGTCAAGCACTTAAAATGTCTTATCTCATTTAATCTTCAATCACATCTATGCAGTGGCTTGGGGACACCGAGCAATTTGTCCAATGTCACTGAACTAGTAAACGGCAGAGCCACAATTAGCACTCATTTATATCTGATCCCAAAGTCATTGCTTATGACCATTACACTCTGGTCTCCCTCACAGAAAATGGGATCCAGGCTCGAGAGTTAAAATCTAGATCCGGTTTCTGAGGTGCAGCCCAAAGAATAGCCAACATCTACTGACCACTAATTACACGAGGGATTTCAAAAAAGAAGAGCGTGCTGGCATTTCCCTATGAACTTTTTTAATGCCCTTGTGTGGCAAGGCTGCCGCCTGTTTACTGTGAGGGCTTGCGTGATGCTGGAAGCTCTGCCACCAGTGTCTCACATACCAGCCAGGCCCCTCGCAGTGCACAGGGACGTTGAGTGGAGCTTTCAGATGAGGGCAGCTGGGGAGAAAGGCCCGGCTATCCGCTTTTGGAGCTAGATTTGTATCCCACTTGTCAGCATGTGGGTTCAGAGTCATGGGGGCCTCCTGTGTGTCCGAGTAGAATGTGCTCCTTAGGGTTTCAAAGAGCTGAGTTTTTAGAAGCAGACCACCAGCCCTTCCCATTGAGGTCCCCGAGTGGGCTTGAACTGCTAACCTCTCATTTAACCACTGGTCACCTTAACTCCTGTTAGTATCCAGGACTCCCTTCAAATATAGTAGCCCATGAAAACCAGATGGATTATATCCTTGTCCAATATAGTGCTGGAAATGACTCCCTCCATTGGAAGACCATAGCACCAATAATAGACTCAAATTTTCCAACAACTTTGAACACAGGGCGGGACCTGGCCAGGTATTTTTGTATTGTGTACATAGGATCCCATGAGTCAACGTAGACCTGAGAGCTAACAACAATTAGGCAAAGGGCTTGGAGTTCTTGGTAATATGTTATCGCTTAAATCCTCTCCTATGATGCTGGCATTATTCTTATGAGCTTCCCTTTATCAGATACACACATTGAGCGTAGTAACTTCCCCAGAGTGTTGGAATTTGCTACTGGTCAACCTGAAATTCAAACCCATGATGTCTCTTACTACACTCTAATGAGTGGTCCTTGGGCCCCAGTCCAAGCTAGGACAGGGGCCTGCAACCCGGAAACGAAGGTCGAAGTTCACACGTGGATGAGACAAAAGTCTGGGAGCAACAGGAGACGCTTCAGCTCTCGGGCCCCACAGGTACTGAGACCCTCAGCCTGCTGTTCTGGGGGCTGGGCGTGGGGCTGCACAACTAACTGCCTTCTGGCCCCACGGGACAAGGAGGGTGTCGCCTTCTAATGTGCTCTAAATCCTGGTCAGACTAGACTCAGCACCTGGCCGGGGCTGTGTCGTCAAACAACTCATTGCCATTGAGCCCATTCGGACTCACAGCGACCCCACGGGCCAGAGTAGAGCTGCTCCTCTGGGTTTCCAAGACTGTACATCTTGGAGAAGCTTCTGGTTTCGAATTGCTGACCTTGTGGCGAATAGCCCAGCCCGTAACCCACTACATTGTGAGGGATCCTGTTTTGACAGTCTAATAGACCCAACATGAGGATCCCACTCGGCATGGTTGAGGTTGAAGACAGTGGAAATCCAGCTATAATTAAAGAACGTGCCGGGATGGGGGTGCGGGAGGCACAGTCAGCCCATGACACACAGTGGGGAAAGCATTACCTGTACGTGGTGACATGCAAAAGAAGCCAAGAGAACAGAGAAGGGTAGACTAACCATCCCGCAGTAGCCCACGGGAACCCGGGGCCAGAAAAAAAGAACTAGCTACTATTGCATTTCTTTCACAAGATTCTGCAATTTATACCTTTCTCTGGCTCAGGAAATCCACATAAAATATGGACTTTAGTTAATAATAATGTATCAATATCGGTTCAATAACTGTAACAAATGTGCCACACTAATGTAAGATGTTAATGATGCTGGAAGCTGGGTGTGGGGTCGATGTACTGTATTTATGATTTTTCTGAAAGTGAAAAGCTAGTCTAAAATGAAAAGTTCACTTAAAGACAACACAAAGGAGAAAAAAAAGGAAGCCAGTCTCCCATGGAGAAGGCTCTGTTCACGTGCATGGGAATTCTCACTTGAGGAAGTGAGAACCCGAATTGATTCAGAATAAATAAGACTTCCGATTCTCTGTATGCTATATAGATCCTACAAATGGGTGGTTTTGAGGAACGGAAACGGATTGTCTCCCAGTTCTGGAGAGAAGGAGTCCAATTCAGGGCCTGGGTCCCAGGGAAGGTTCCTGCCAGGCATTCCTTGCTGCCGCCCTGCGGGGATGCTGTGAGGGGGGTCTTCACAGGGCATCTGCATTCCCGCTGCGTGTGTTCCAAGACACCACCCAAAGTGCCTTGAGTTGGGATCCACCCTCCTCCAGGACGGCCTCATGAACATCTGCCTCTTTCCAAGCTGGGTCCCCTTCACTGGACCTGGTACAGGCGTTAGGACTTCAAGGTAACTTCTTGGGTGACGCAATTTATTCCATCACATTCAGTCCTGGTCCACAGGCTCGGTATGATGTGAGAGTCAGCAACAGGGGCGTGTCTGGAGCAAGGCTGGCCCACAAGTTGTAAGAGAAAGGGAAAGGGAGGGCGGGGTACCAATCAGGAATTGGGAAACCCAGTGGAGGAAGGGCATAGAGCAATGAGACAGATTGCGTGAATGGCCTGGATCTCCTTTCCTCCAGTGCCTTAAGGGCCTGTCTCTCTCAGGACTGGGGGCAGCCGAAGGGTCTGGGAAAACAGGAACAATTTGATCAGCTTCTGGGTTTCCACGAAGGCCTTCTGAGTATAGCAGTTCTCTCTTGGCTTCAGCTGTGTGATGGAAGAACACTCTCAGGGTTGATCTGAAGGCGAGCAAGCGTTGGATGTCTAGTTTGGAATTGTCAAGAGGGGCAATGTCACAGTGGTGGTGTGGTTCAGGGTCGGGGCAGCAGCAGCAGCAGTTCACAGCATGATTGTGGGGGCAGAGGCATGTGGGGCATAGGGCAATTTTCATCTTTGGAGTACTTTATAAACACGAAATGCAATTTATTAAAAATGTTTTATCAAAAGAATTAATTTCCCAAGAGGTTTCCCTGTATTATTCTAATTGCTTTTCCTTAACTGCCTAATTTTTTAAATTGCAGTTTTATGAAAAAAAAATACAAATATTTCTAGATGAGAAGTGTCTCATAGGGAAAAGAGCTTTCAGAGGGCTGGGTAATCTTTATATCAGGTTTTATATATGACTCTTCTATTGACACTACTTTTTGATTAATATTGTGTATAACATTCCTTAATGCAGCTGCAGAATTAATTATGCAGAAACATTCAGGCACACAGACATTATATTGATGGAATGACATTTTATTGACAAAATGACAGTTTAATACTGGGCTTCCCCAAAGCTTTATATCTAATCGATTGCTTCAATTCTGTTAGCTAACCTGTCTGAGTGAGAACAAGGGGAATCTGTCCATGTACTTTTAGCAGATCAATGTAGGACTGTTGAGATGTGAACAATACATTTCTGGATGACACTCTGATCTGGGTTAAGCTTTTGCATCAATTGCATACATCATTCATGGGGTATATATTTAGATGATATACGATTGGATTTTTGTGACAAAATTCATCATGTGTGCCTTTCATTGCCTCAGGCTCGATTTTTCTTGTTCCAAAAAGTGAGATTTCTTTTTTTCCCATTTCTGCGTACATTGAGGGACACTAGAATCCAGGACTGTGCAGCCCGCGTGACTGTGTGAGCATTGTCGTGGAGCCGGTTATCCTCGGTCTCAGTGGCTCTGGTTTAAATATTGTTAGCAAATTACCACCTACCCTCGAGTCAATTCTGATCCATGTGACCCGGTGTGTCGGAGCAGGACTCCGGAGTACGCTCCGCAGCCGTCTCGGGGCCTGTGGTTTTTCAGCAGATTCCCAGTCTTTGTTCCCAGGCACCTCTGAGTGGACTCAGTTTTGTAACCTGACCATTAGCAGCTGAGTACCTAAATTGTGTGCACCGTCCAGGGACTCCAGAAAGCGTGAACCCACTGACCTCACTGCCATTGAGTCCGTGCCAACTCATAACGACCTTTTAGGGCGGAGTAGACGGTGACTCTTGGTGGGAGTAGAAAAAGCCCTGTCTTTCTCCCAAGGAGCTGCTGGTGGTTTCAAACTGCTGGACTTGCAGGTTGCAGCCCAATGCATAACCATGACACCACCACTTTTGAGGGGATCTTAAAAAGTGTGCAGTGATAGAATGTGTATGAATTGTTGAAAGGAAAATTGATCTGTTCTGTATAACTTCACTCAACTCAAAGAGTTAAATAAAAATTAAGTATATGTAAAGTTAAAAAAAAGTGTGCAGTGGTGATTAAATATGAGCATTGGTGGTGTGGTGGCTTAGTGGGCTAAACACTTGGCTTCGAACCCACCAGCTGCTCGGTGGAAGAAAGATGACATCGTTGGATTCCATAAAGTTGGATTGCGTCAGAATCCCTAGAGGGCAATCCTA